CTCCGGGCACCTGCTGCCTGGTCTCCCCTGTGCACTCACCGCCCCCAGGTTCCCTCCGTGTTCCCTCGGTGGCCTCTCCCTGCAGGAGGGGGGGTCCCGGGGCCCCCACACCATAGCACACGACAGACACTCATTCATGAATGCAAACCCACCCCCCACCCCGGGGGCCCCAGTCCGCAGCCCCGGGTGGCGGTGGCACCTTGCCAGGAAGCAGCCGCACTGTTTGGGTGAGGGGAGAGCAATCAGCCGTACACACCGCCATCGGGGGTGGGGGGGAGGGAGGCTGCGTGGGGCCTCGGTGCCCTCACAAGTGCCTCATCGGCTCCGCGGGTCTGCGCCTCCCTTCAAGAGCGGGAGAGTGGAAGGGTCAAGATCTCTCCATGTTCGTGATGTCCGGGAGGCGGCAGCTGCTGCCGCCGCCGGACCAGCCACACATGTTCTCATGGCCCAGAGGAGAGGGGGGAGGGGCAGCCGATGCTGCGGACGCCCCTGCTGTCCGTCCGCCGTGACTGTTTCTTCCAGAGCGAGAGCGCAGAGCCACGGCCTGGGCCTCTGTCCTGCCAACGCTGAGGAGGCTCCCGGGCTGGGCCAGGCCCTGCGGTGGACGACACCGTGGCCCTGTCCTCTCCTCCCGCCCCTCCCCAATCTGTTCGTCCAGCCCCCATCAATGCATGCACCGGTGGGCCCCGCTCTGAACTGGCCTCCAGCTGCCTCGATGCTGACCTTTCCCCCCAAGTCCTCGCTGCCCGCCCCAGGCGGCCCTGAGCTCATTGCCTACCACCCCCTGGGCCGAAAGGAGCTTCCTCCCGCTCCAGCCGCCCCGTTCTGTCCGCACCACTCTGTTCCCCGCTCCTGGGACTTACACCCACCACGGCTGCCTGTCTCTGTCCCATGAGACCAGCGCCCCCCCCACCAGGGCCAGCTGTTGAAACTGTGGGAGTGGCCCAGGGACGGCACCCCGCAGGGCACAGGGCGGCCCCCGCATGACAAGGGACTGCTGGCTTGGAGTGTCGACAGCACCCACAGCGAGACGCCTGTCAGGTGAGGCCCGAGAGGGGCGGCGGCGGGGGAGTGGCAGGCAGGCGGCCCCGGCCCCGGCCCCGGCCCATCCCTCCCGCCCCCCTGCGCACCCAGCCCGGGGGGCCCCCGTTCCTGAACAGACCTGGTCACACTGCCAACAATGCATCAGTTTAATTGGGTTAAGTGGCCATTAGCGGCAAAAGCAGGGCGGCCGTGTGCAGAAGGGTTTTTAATTTTACTCTTTAAATGATGCTCGCTCCCCAGAGAGGCCACGGAGGGCGAGCACGCTGGCCACTGGAGTCCCCAGCACCGGAGCAACGGCGGCAGCCCCCAGCCCACCCATCGGGGTCCCCCTGGGGAGGGGCGCTCCGTGTCCTGTCTCCACGGCCTAGGGAAGAAACTGCAGGGTGGGGACTTGCCCAAGGTCACGAGGTCATCGCAGAGCAAGCCCCCGCCAGCGGAGACCAGAAGCGCATCTGCCTGTAGACAGCGAGTGCCACGTGGCCACCGGTGGAAGCACGGAGGAGGGCGGGGTCGGAGGGAGTGTGCGGGTCCAGCGCCCGGCGCCTGGCCCTGCCCTGGCCCTGGGCTTCCCGTTCCCTATGAATGAAGCCCACCGAGCCACAGCGCCCTTGTCCTTGGGAGTGGGCTGGACTGCCCCACATGGAGGACACTCCTCACCTTATCAAAAGCAGCCTCTCCTCCCCGGCCTCTCCTCCGATCCAGCCCACACGGCAGAGGTTCTGGGACGGGGCCGAAGGTGGCCTGACCCCCAGGGATGCTGTTCTCACTGTGGCCTTTAGGAGCAATGGCTCCTGGAGCTGTGACGACAGGAGCATGGGGCAGGACAGTCTCACGCCCCTTTTGTACGGGGGCGGGGGGGGAAACTGAGGCCAGGGATGGACTGGAATGCGAGCTCCACGAGGGCTCCCGGCGCCCACCTGCATGCAGCAGGCCACCAGGGGGTAGAAGGAGGCTACAGCCACGAGGCGATGACCCCCCTCTTCCCAGAAGAGGGGCTGGGTGTCAGGGGCTCAGCTGGGGGGACAGGAGAGTCCTGGTGTGGGTCCCACCCTGCCTCCGATCTGCTGTAAGAAGCAGGCACCTCCCTCCCCTGCCTGGGACTCGAAGGCGTGTGTCCTGGCTCGACACCCTCCTCCTGGGGGCGGACGTTCCCGGGGACTTCCCTGGATGTCTCTGTGGCTGAAGCACCGCAGGTTTCCCAGACCCAGGGCTGCTGGTCCCCCAAGCCCCAGAGTCCCGGCCCCGGCCTGCGGCCGCCGCCACACCCCTGGCCGGTGCACCACCCCGGGCAGCCTGGAGAAGCTCGCTGCAAACGTCTCTGCCTGTTCCTGGTCAGATGAGACGGCGACCTCCTGTCCCGTGTCGCTCAGTTCCCTCCTTGCGGGACCCACATGCAAATCCCAGACCAGGGCACGAGGATCTAAACTGGCTGGGGTCCGGGAAGAGGAACGATGGAGTGGAGGTGGCGGGGCCAGACCCCACGGATCCCTCCCTCCAAGGGCACTCAGGCTGCACACAAGCGTGGGAGAAGAGAAAGGGGCTGGACCTTGATTGACAGCAAATTTAACACGTGAAACGACCAAGGCTCCTCCTGCACAATTAAGACCAAGGAGGGAAGAGGACAGTCATCCCTTCCCCTGGGGACGCAGGCGCTGCAGCGGGGCCAGGAGGCAGCGGGGTCGGCAGGGCCCTGGGCTCGGTCCCACCGCAGCACTAACCCGGGGAGCCAGGGGCGTGGCTTGGGACCCCAGGGGCCTGGACGCCAACCCCGGCTCTGCCACGTCCTGGCCCGAGGCATGGCGCCTCCGGTCTCAGTGTCCCCTCTGTGAAGCGCCCAATCAGGGGTTGTCTTTTCCCGTCATGCTTCCATTGAGAATAATGTGTGCATGGTGCCAGCTGGGCACCAGGCCCCGGGCTGGGCGGCAGAGGTCGTGGAAAGGAGGCTGACCCTGCCCGGCCTCTCGGCCAGGGGCCAGCGTGTGGTGCAGGGACAGGGCTGGGAGCAGAAAGAACCCCAGACCTTGGGCTCCAGCCCCCCACGCTGTCAGGGCGGGTCATCCCTCTAGGACTGGGGACAGGGGCCCGGGGACAGGGACTCCAGCTCTGCCACGCTCAGAGAGGGTGCACAGGTCAGGCATCTCTCACCGCCGCCACCTGGCCCCCCACTCCCCCCACTCCCCACCATGGCTGGCCCCAAAGGTAGAGTGGGGAGCAGGCCTGCAGGCCCGACGGGCGCTCCTTCCCAAACTCACTGGTTGTGACACAAGTTCAGGACTGGCGGCCCGCACTTTGTGAGCTGGGCAGGCGGGCGGCAAAGCAAGGGGTAGCGGGCACATGGGGGTCTGGGGTGAAGGGCAGAGGGAGAGACACAGAGAAGAGGAGGAAGGAGGGGGTAGTGTCCAGGGGGCTCCTGGTCCAGGACAGACGAGGAGGCAGGACATGACGCACTGGCTGGGTGGCGAGCAGATGTTTCTCAGGGTCAGGGTGGACACTGTGGGACCCACGGGGACCGCGGTGCCAGGAGGAAGCCGGGCTTTGCCTCCTCCCCATGATGGTTCATTCCCCCAGCTGTCTCTGACCTTGGACCAGGAGATCCCGGAGGTTGCACGGGGTCCTCTGGGTCCGTAGCGGGTGAGGCGGCTCCAGCCCCAGGGTGCCAGCCTCTCCCTATTCCATGATCCCAGGTCACACTGGGGCAGGCAGGGGACCCTAGGTGGATAGTGGGACCCAGTTCCTGGGGCAGAGGGTCCTGGCTCTCTCGTGGGGCTTGGACGTGGCAGGGGTCAGGCAGGGTGGCTGCCCTGACCGGACCCTGCCGGGGCCTTGGCCTGAGCCTGGGCATGGCTCACGTGGGCCTGCTCATCCGTTTTGTTTCTTAAAAACAGCTTTATTGAGGTATAGCTCACACAAGCATAACTTTCACCCCCATGCAGCATACGAGTAGTTTCTAGCGTATTCACAGCTGTACAGCCATTGGCCACCTCTACTTCAGAGTATTTCCATCACCCCAGAAAAGACCCTGCTCCCACTAGCAGACGCTCCTGTGCCCGCCTCCAGCCCTGGGCAGCCGCCACTACAGACACGTGACCACGTGGCAGGCGGTCTTCTGTGATCGGCTCCTTTCACGCGTGTAACGTTTCGAGGCCGTGCCTGCAGCCCTGGGCGTTGGGACCGCACTCCTTCCATCGGACTCGTCTCTCTGACACAGGTGGGGCAGCCGCGGTTGTGCCTCTGATTTGGGGGCTGCCTGGACACCCCCACCCTGCCGCCCCACACTGACTGCAGAGCCTGCCCGAAGCTCCCTGGGGCTGCGGAGCCCTTCCCCGCGGCTGTCCTGGGCGGGCCGGTGGTAGCAGGGGAGGCCGGGTTCCAGCAGCCGGCCAGGGGGCCCAGCGGGCTCTCTCACCTCTCCCAGCCGCTCTGCGTCGGAGCTGACGGGCGCAACCCCTCTGAGTACAGACGGGGAGACTGAGGCCCAGGGGGAGGCGGAGGGACGTTCAGAGTCAGGGGCAGAGCAGAGGCTCCGACCCCGGGCATCCCACGGCCACAGCTTTCTCTGCGGCTTTCAGGGTCCCTGGTGCTCCCTCCCCGTGGGAGCCAGCGGCCCCAGCTCCCAGCCACTGACAGGTCGCTGTGCTGGCCGGGTGCTCACCCAGGGCATGCTCACAGACGGAGCAGAGGGACGAGAGGACCCCAGGCCCAACAGGAGGGAGGGCTGGACCCTGCCTGGGCCCCACCATCATACCCACTCGGGGTCCCCAAGACCCCAGGTCACCCCTCACGTGGCCTACTCCAGGTCAAACCGCCCCGCTGCTCCGAGCTTGGCTGCCACCGTCCAGCGGGCCCGGCCCAGCCAGTGACGGGCCAGCCCCAGTCCCCTCAGCAGGTCACCACATCACCCTCTCGGCGTGGGGCCGCTCCGCCAGGCTCCCCTCGCTCCTCACACTGGCACCCACCTTCAGGGCCTGCACCTTCCTGTCCAGCAGGCTCTCGATGTCCCCGGCCACCTTCTCCACCAGCTTCTGAGGCTCATTCTCCTGCACCTCGAACAGGTTCCGGTTGTCCTTGTAGATCTGGAAGGGAGCAGAGGTGGGGTGAGGCCAGCTGGTCACACAGTCCCGTGCCGCGGCCCCCGCATGTCCTCCGTGCACGGCGCAGGCCCGTCCTCCCCCCGCCCCTCCCCGCCCCACCCCGGCTGTGGTCACTGAGATGGCGCCGAGGCCTGGGGGCGGGGGGGCCCGTGCGCTCATGGACTTGGAGGAAGGACCTGGCTGTCGGCTCCCCAGCCGGCTGTAGTGACTGCGGGTGATAGGGTGGGGCTGTGGCTGCCTTCTCTGGAACTCGGGGTTCCTCCTCCAGGGGCCACAAGCAGTAACCCCCTGACTAGCTCAGGGGGGCTGAGAGAGCAGAGGGTGGGGGGCGGCCTGGGTAGGAGGCAGGGCGTGGCGGGAGTGGAGCCAACGAACACACGTGCACACCACACAGCAACAAAGATGCCCACGTGCTCACACGTGTACACACACCCGTACACGCCCACATGCATCGCACATGCAGCCACCCACCTCCCCGTGCAGGCTCAGGGCACCCACACCCCCTTATTGCTGGTGTCGCCCCAGGGCATTCGCAGAAACTTTAGCGGGAGCTCTGGGCGCCCCCAGGGGACCAGCTGTCACTCGGGGCACAGAATGTGGGTGTGGGGACCAGGGAAGAAGAGGCACACCGGAGGACGAGTCTGCCCCCCCCCACCCCGGGGGCGGGCCTGCACACACGCTCCAGTGAGGGCGTGAGTCTGACAGTCTGCATTTGCGTGTGAGCGTGTGTTACGGCCCAACACGCCTGTCTGCACCCGTGCCTGCGTGCCGGGGGTGCGGTGGGGTCCGGGTCTCCAGACACACGAAGCCTGGGAGCTCGCACGTGAGGTGCAGGAGCAGCTCTGGGGGGCGTTTTTGTTCATGGCTGGAGCCTTGGCAGGGGGTGTGCGCATGCACCGCACACCCCTGCGTGTGTCTGAGCCGGGCGGGGGCCATGCGTCCACTCAGGTGACCCCAGCAGGTCCGCGTTGCCATGACTGAGGCCCTGCCGCCAGGCTGTGCCACCAGGCTGTGCAGAGGGGCGGGGTGTGGGGAGCCAAGCGCAGGGGTGATGAGGAGATAAGGGGGTGGGGGAGGCAGCTGATGAGGGACAGACAGGCAGGAGCGATAAGGTCGCAGACTGACAGAGAGACAAGGGAGATAAGGCCTCGGGCAGGGGGGTGGGAGACAGGGCACCTCCGGAGCCCCCGCCCGCCCGCCCGCCCGCCCCGCGCCCGGCAGCCCGAGGGTTAACGCTCTGCACAAGGCTGGCTCCCGCAATCTCCTCCTCCGCCCCCATCCCTCCTGGCTTCCCTTTTCTTTTTGTCCTTCTCTTAGAACAAAATAATTTGTGGTGGAGCAGGGGCGATTAGAGGGTGAGTCGTGAGGCTGGGACGCACGGCCAGGTGTGACGGAAGCCCCCAGTGGACGCTGCCAGGCCAGGCTGTCCCCAAGGCCCCCAGAGGGAGACGGAGGTCAAGGAGGGTTCCGAGCCTGCAGCCCAGGGCCCGCTGTTCAGACGCAGGCGAGGACAGATCAAGGACACATGCCTGTGAGTGGCAAAGCCAGGCCCCCCCATCCTCGCTGACCCCTTCCTGCCCCGGCTTCAGGGCTTGAAAACCCCACAGTTTCCCACCCACTTGTACCAGCAGGGGGCGCAGCTGCCTGGCTGCTGGGGCGTGGGACGAAGTTCCCATACCTGATGCCCCTGTCAAGGTCATTCCCAGGTGCCCCTATCAGAGGTTGTCCCAGCAGCGGCAGCCCCAGATCTGAGGCTGGGTTACGTGGTCTGCTGATGACCCTCCTCAGGGGGCCCAGGGGGCCCCCCTCAGCCAGGTCCAGGGGGTCCCTTGCAGCCCGGCATGGTGACTGGGCTAGGGCCTGGGGGCCGCCCAGGGAGTAGGTCTCCAGATGGCAGGGTCACCCCCAGGGCCCTAACAGGTGGCATAAGGGCCTGAAAGCAGGGAACCTGCCAGGAGTCACCTCATCTCTGAACCTCTACTACGTGAGGGGACAGCAGCGCCCACCCCACCGGCCAACGGGGACTGCACGGCGCCGACGCTGTTGTCTGTCACTGCGGCGACTGTGGCCGCCACCCGAATTCTGCAGGAGGCATCGCAGTCCCCCTCCCGCCTCCGCTCGGTCCCTGCTAGACCTGCACCCAGACCCGAAGCCATGGGCGTCCGCTCCGGAGCAGACAGCCCCAGTGGTCTCCTGGGGTCTGCCGCCCCCAGCCGCACTCCTCCAGCTCCCCGGTCACCCTGAGCAGTCCCCCCCCACCCCCCTGAGCCATCCTGCCCTGGTCTCCCTGTCACCTCAGCCTGGGTCCTGGAGGCGACCGCCAGGGGACCCAGACACAGGGACGCCCAGACACTGGGAGGGCACAGCCACAGCCGCCTCCCCTCCCCCTCCCCCCCTCCCCTTGAGTGCTGGGCCTGTGTGCTGCAGGCCCTGGGCACAGGCAGAGGCCCCCTTCCACGCCCGAGAGCAGAGCTCCGGGGCCAGCGGGCCCCAGGTCTGACCCCTCCACTTTGCCTGCAGCTCTGCTGCTCCCAGAGACTGGGCTGCGTCTGCCGCGCTCTCCTCCCGTCCCACGTCCACCCGAGGACCCGCCGTGACACCTGCTGCTGGCCCACGTGCCTGGCATGCCCCCACAGGCCCCTGCTCAGCCCTGCGGCCACTCCTCGGCTCAGGCTGCCCCTCTTCCCTTCGCCTTCCCCGGCCTATTCACATGCTCCCTAGAGCAAGGGTGGGGCAATGAGCCAGGGGCTCCTGGGGCAGATGAGGGTCCGGTTCTACAGCGGCAGGGGTGGTCCAGCTGCCGGCCGAGTCTGCCCTCCTGTCCCAGACGGGCCCCTCGGGCGCAGCAGCACCCCCTCCTTCTATCACAGGTGCCTCACCCTCTCCTTAACATTCCCCTGGACCGGTTCCAGCTGCCTCTGTCCCCTGGGGTGGGGCCTGAGCTGGGCCCTGTGTCCCGGGGAGATCCGAGAGACAGTCCAGCAGATGGTCCCGCCCTGGGAGATAGGTCATCTCTGCATTCCTGCCGGCCGCAGCGCTTCCCACCCGCGGGCCCAGCAGGGAGCCGGGGAGAGCCCTGAGCAGCTCCAGAGCACTCCCGGGGGGGGGGGGCGGCTCTCCCTGGGCCCCAGCCGCAAGCCCCGGTCCCTGGGCCGGGGACACACCGGCTGGTGTCCTCGCCCCTCGAGCGGACTGGAGACACCCAACATCTACCTCCCGCGGCTGCGCAGCCTTCACCTCCCCCACCTCTGGCCCGGGCAGCCGGACGGAGGGCAGAGTTGGAGGCGGGGGCCCACAGGTGGTTGCAGCTAGCGGCCGCCGTGCTGGGGAGGAAGCCGCGTTTTGCCCCACAGAAGCGATGACCAATAGCAGGGGCAGGGGCTGCAGGTGAGGGGACGCAGACCGGCCGGCTGGAGCCAGGGGGGCGCGTGGGGAGGGCAGAGGACACGGTGGCCCAGGGGCTGAGGGCGGGGACGGCGGGGCTGGCTGGCTGAGGCCGGGAGGGACGATTCAGGAGGCAGTGAGTGCCTTCCTTCTCCCTCCTGGGAAGTCCCTGCTCCCCACCCCCCACCCCATCCCTTATCGTGTCTCTACGGCCACCAATCGCCAGGGCGTCCTCCTCCCCTTGGGGCTGCTCCACACCAGTTACTGGTACCTGCCCCTCCGTCTCTCCCTCATTTCCTTACGTACCGCCCCCTCAACGCCGACCCCGACCCCACCCTCTTCAGCTCCGGTGACTGTGTCAAGCAGCATGTTCTGCCAGCCTTTCGGCCCAGGGATTTCTAGGGCCTGCGGGGGACCCTCTGCCCAGCCTCCTACTCCCCTGGGTGGCTTCACATAAAGGCAGGGCAAGCCCGAGGGCCCTGGGAGGGACGGTGACCTTGCAGAGGAAGCCTGGACGCTCACGGGGGCAGGGGGAGCCAGCCTGATCCCTGCAGCCTCCAGCAGCCCTGACTGGGGGGCTGGGGAGGGCACCTGGAATATCAGGACAGCCACCACGACCTTGCATGTCCCGGTCACACTGAAGAGGCATTTTGCAAAGTCCCTGAAAGCCAGCAGCAGTGGGGCCTGGACCCAAATCCGCACCCCACCCACCCAGGCAGAGGAGGAAGTGGGGGCAGAGGAAAAGGAGGGTAAGGTGGGGAGAGGGGGAAATGGACTACGGAGGCCATTGAACTGCCCCGGCCCCAGGTGTCCACTCTGGCCACCCAGGGCAGGTGCTTCACACACTCGGCCTCACTGCCCGCCGCCCCTGCGGAGGGACCCTTCAGATCACGCCCACTGAGCCGCCGGGACGCTGGGCGTCGGAGAGGCTGAGTCCCGCCGCGGGGCTCAGGCTTCCCCGGGTCTGTCGGGACCGCGGCCCTGGCTCTGGGCCACACTCTGCGTGGCCCCTGTCCCAGCGCTTGCCCCCAGGCTTGGAGGTGCAGCCTCTGGCAACCCGGGCATGGGGGCTACGCTGGTGGTCTGGGGGTCGGAAGGGGGCCTGGGCAGACCCAGGGGGACGCTGCAGGCCCAGGGCCCAGGGGAGGCGGGGGGGCCGTGCTGGAAAGAAGCAGGCGTCGGGGGGGGCAGAACCAGCCGGAACCACTAGCCAACCACCCAGCCCTGCGAGTGAAAACCAGGCACGCATGCGAGGCTCCTCTCTGCAGTGAAGGTGAACGGGCCCTAATCTCTGGAAAATTAAATCAGAGAGAAAATGGAACGAGAAAGATTTGATGCAGGCTGGGCCCGGCTGCCGGCTGTCTGCTCAAAGGCCCAGGCGCAGCCGCAGGTTCAGCTGGGCGCCCCAGCTCCCCGGACCCTTGCCCCTGCCCCGGGTGCCAGGTAGGGTGCAGGCAGGGTGGGGGGGGGCGTGGAGAGCCCCACGATCTAACTCCTGGTGGACTTTCTGTTCTCCAAGGCCCTCCAGCCACGTCTCACTACCTGGTCCCTGGTCTCGGAAAAAACAGCCTCTGGGGGTCAAAGGGCCGAGCCCTCGT